CATATTTAAATGGCAAAGGGGACAGAGAATGAAACGAACGAAAGGCGAGAGTGGACAAAGAAGCACCTTTTCCTTCAAGGTTTCCAAAAGATGGAGATCTCTCGCGGGGGTGTCCTTTTCAGGTGGGTTTTCCTACAGAAAAAGAAGAAAAGGACATCCTAATTTTGGATACATGTAACATCATTTCCTTGTGTTATTTCCTTTTGCGCCAAGAAATACAACGAATTTCGGGCCTCCAAGATTTAAATTCGGGTGGAATTTATAAAAATTTCAATAATTAAAATAGTTTAAATAATTTCGGGCCTCCAGAAAGGCGCGGCTCGATTTGGCCAAATTTTGCCGGGCAGCCTGCGGGCAAAATTTGGCCAAATCGGGCTGCTCTTCGTATGCGATGAGAAATGCGCGGCTCGATTTGGCCAAATTTTGCCCGGAGGCTGCCCGGCAAAATTTGGCCAAATCGAGCCGCGCATTTCTCATCGCATACGAAGAGCAGCCCGATTTGGCCAAATTTTGCCCGGAGCCTGCCCGGCAAAATTTGGCCAAATCGAGCCGCGCCTTCCCCTACATATTTCATATGTAAACGAAAAAAGGGGACAGGAAATGAAACGAACGAAAGGTGAGAGTGGACAAAGAAGCACCTTTTTTTCAAGGTTTCCAAAAAATAGAGGTCTCCGGTGTGGGTGTCCATTTAAGGTGGGTCTTGTTACAGAAAAAAGAAGAGAAGGACACCCTAATTTTGGATACATGTAACATCATTTCTGTCTCTTATTTCCTCCTGCGCAAAAAATAAAACGAAAGGAAAGCCACAGTGGAAAACGCGAGTGCCTTCCCTTCAAGACTTCCAAAACATCGGAGTCTCTGGTGTGGGTGTCCTTCTAAGGTGGGGTTTTGCTACAGAAACAGGAAGAAAAGGACACCGGAAACACTCTAAACATCTTGGACGCCCTTCTTTACATATTATACATCATTTGAATTTTTCATATTTACATGGCAAAGGGGACAGAGAATGAAACGAACGAAAGGCGAGAGTGGACAAAGAAGCACCTTTTCCTTCAAGGTTTCCAAAAGATAGAGATCTCTCGTGGGGGTGTCCTTTTCAGGTGGGTTTTGCTACAGAAAAAGGAAAAAAAGGACATCCTAATTTTGGATACATGTAACATCATTTCCTTGTGTTATTTCCTTTTGCGCAAAGAAATACAACGAATTTCGGGCCTCCAATATTTAAATTCGGGTGGAATTTATGAAAATTTCGATAATTAAAATATTTTAAATAATTTCGGGCCTCCAGAAAGGCGCGGCTCGATTTGGCCAATTTTTGCCGGGCAGCCTGCGGGCAAAATTTGGCCAAATCGGACTGCTCTTCGTACGCGATGAGAAATGCGCGGCTCGATTTGGCCAAATTTTGCCGGGCAGCCTCCGGGCAAAATTTGGCCAAATCGAGCCGCGCATCTCTCCCCCGGACCCAATTGAATTTTTTAAAAACCTTAAAAGCCTTAAAATCCTTGAACAATCAAATGGGGAGGGCCGAGCCATTTAGTTTTTTAAGGATTTTAAGAGTTTTAAAAGCCTTTGAAAAACCTTAAAATCCTTAAAAACTAAATGGCTCGGCCCTCCCCATTTGATTTTTTAAGGATTTTAAGGTTTTTAAGGTTTTTAAAAAATTCAATTGAGTCCGGGGGCCCCGGGACCCTCCCCATTTGACTTTTTAAAGGTTTTAAGGCCTTTAAAAGCCTTTTAAAAACCTTAAAATCCTTTCTAATTTAGGAATTTAAGGAATTTAAGGAATTTTTAAATTTTAAAAAGGGCCTTTTTAAATTTTTAAAATTTTAAAAAGGGCCGTTTTAAATTTTAAAAAAACCTTAAATTCCTTAAATTCTGAAATTGCGTAAATAAAATTGTTGGGCCGGCCCTTTTTTAAATTTTAAAAAAACCTTAAATTCCTTAAATTCCTTAAATTCCTAAATTAGCTATTTAGGAATTTAAGGAATTTAAGGTTTTTTAAAAATTTAAAAAGGGCCTTTTTAAATTTTTTAAATTTTAAAAAGGGCCTTTTTAAATTTTAAAAAAACCTTAAATTCCTTAAATTCTTAAATTAGGTATTTAAGAATTTAAGGAATTTAAGGAATTTAAGGGTTTTTTAAAATTTAAAAAAGGGCCGGTCGAATAATTTTATTTACCTAATTTAGGAATTTAAGGAATTTAAGGAATTTAAGGTTTTTTTAAATTTTAAAAAGGGCCTTTTTAAATTTTTTAAATTTTAAAAAGGGCCTTTTTAAATTTTAAAAAAACCTTAAATTCCTTAAATTCTGAAATTGCGTAAATAAAATTGTTGGGCCGGCCCTTTTTTAAATTTCAAAAAAACCTTAAATTCCTTAAATTCCTTAAATTCCTAAATTAGCTATTTAGGAATTTAAGGAATTTAAGGTTTTTTAAATTTTAAAAAGGGCCTTCTTAAATTTTTTAAATTTTAAAAAGGGCCCTTTTAAATTTTAAAAAAACCTTAAATTCCTTAAATTCTTAAATTAGGTATTTAAGAATTTAAGGAATTTAAGGAATTTAAGGTTTTTTTAAAATTTAAAAAAGGGCCGGTCGAATAATTTTATTTACCTAATTTAGGAATTTAAGGAATTTAAGGAATTTAAGGTTTTTTTAAATTTTAAAAAGGGCCTTTTTAAATTTTTTAAATTTTAAAAAGGGCCTTTTTAAATTTTAAAAAAACCTTAAATTCCTTAAATTCTGAAATTGCGTAAATAAAATTGTTGGGCCGGCCCTTTTTTAAATTTTAAAAAAACCTTAAATTCCTTAAATTCCTTAAATTCCTAAATTAGCTATTTAGGAATTTAAGGAATTTAAGGTTTTTTTGAATTTTAAAAAGGGCCTTTTTAAATTTTTTAAATTTTAAAAAGGGCCTTTTTAAATTTTTTAAATTTTAAAAAGGGCATTTTTAAATTTTAAAAAAACCTTAAATTCCTTAAATTCTGAAATTGCGTAAATAAAATTGTTGGGCCGGCCCTTTTTTAAATTTAAAAAAAACCTTAAATTCCTTAAATTCCTTAAATTCCTAAATTAGCTATTTAGGAATTTAAGGAATTTAAGGTTTTTTTAAATTTTAAAAAGGGCCTTTTTAAATTTTTTAAATTTTCAAAAGGGCCTTTTTAAATTTTAAAAAAACCTTAAATTCCTTAAATTCTGAAATTGCGTAAATAAAATTGTTGGGCCGGCCCTTTTTTTAAATTTTAAAAAAACCTTAAATTCCTTAAATTCCTTAAATTCCTAAATTAGCTATTTAGGAATTTAAGGAATTTAAGGTTTTTTTTAAAATTTAAAAAGGGCCTTTTTATTTTTTTTAAATTTTAAAAAGGGCCTTTTTAAATTTTTAAAAAAAACTTAAATTCCTTAAATTCTTAAATTAGGCATTTAAGAATTTAAGGAATTTAAGGAATTTAAGGTTTTTTTAAAATTTAAAAAAGGGCCGGTCGAATAATTTTATTTACCTAATTTAGGAATTTAAGGAATTTAAGGAATTTAAGGCTTTTCTAAATTTAAAAAAGGGACTTTTTAAATTTTTTAAATTTTATCAAGGGCCTTTTAAATTTTTTAAATTTTAAAAAGGGCCTTTTTAAATTTTAAAAAACCTTAAATTCCTTAAATTCTGAAATTGCGTAAATAAAATCGTTGGGCCGGCCCTTTTTAAAATTTTAAAAAAACCTTAAATTCCTTAAATTCCTTAAATTCCTAAATTAGCTATTTAGGAATTTAAGGAATTTAAGGTTTTTTTAAATTTTAAAAAGGGCCTTTTTAAATTTTTTAAATTTTAAAAAGAGCCTTTTTAAATTTTAAAAAAACCTTAAATTCCTTAAATTCTGAAATTGCGTAAATAAAATTGTTGGGCCGGCCCTTTTTTAAATTTTAAAAAAACCTTAAATTCCTTAAATTCCTTAAATTCCTAAATTAGCTATTTAGGAATTTAAGGAATTTAAGGTTTTTTTTAAAATTTAAAAAGGGCCTTCTTAAATTTTTTTAAATTTTAAAAAGGGCCTTTTAAATTTTAAAAAAACCTTAAATTCCTTAAATTCTTAAATTAGGTATTTAAGAATTTAAGGAATTTAAGGAATTTAAGGTTTTTTTAAAATTTAAAAAAGGGCCGGTCGAATAATTTTATTTACCTAATTTAGGAATTTAAGGAATTTAAGGAATTTAAGGAATTTAAGGTTTTTTTAAATTTTAAAAAGGGCCTTTTTAAATTTTTTAAATTTTAAAAAGGGCCTTTTTAAATTTTAAAAAAACCTTAAATTCCTTAAATTCTGAAATTGCGTAAATAAAATTGTTGGGCCGGCCCTTTTTTAAATTTAAAAAAAAACCTTAAATTCCTTAAATTCCTTAAATTCCTAAATTAGCTATTTAGGAATTTAAGGAATTTAAGGTTTTTTTAAATTTTAAAAAGGGCCTTTTTAAATTTTTTAAATTTTAAAAAGGGCCTTTTTAAATTTTAAAAAAACCTTAAATTCCTTAAATTCCTAAATTAGGTATTTAGGAATTTAAGGAATTCAAGGTTTTTTTAAAATTTAAAAAGGGCTTTTTTTAATTTTAAAAAAACCTTAAATTCCTTAAATTCTTAAATTAAGTATGTTGTGTGGTAGGCAGCAAGCCACGCGCCAAATAGTACATAAAGGTCCCTCGTACAAACCCCTAAACCCCTAAACCCTAAACCCTAAACCCTAAACGCTGGTTGCGCTGGTTACCCTGGACCACACATTGGGAGAAGTGTTCCGGGTCAACACTTCCCAGATACCAAGATAGGCACCTGTGATTGAGGGCCCGCCCCGCGTTGATATCCCTACTAGAGGCCGTTACGTTGCGAAGAACATCCTACTCGCCAAGTGCTAACCTCACAACCTGTGGTTCTGCCAAGTGAACAAACCATAACCCTAAAGCACTGAAGCCATAAAGCCCTAAAGCCCTAAACCCTAAACCCTAAACCCTAAACCCTGAAGAGTCGCCTCTTCCATTCCGACCTCCAATCCCTCGACATCTGCCTCCGCGGCCTCAAGATCTCCACGAAGTTTTGGGGTTTATAGGGTTTTGGGTTTATAGGGTTTGGGGTTTATAGGGTTTAGGGTTTAAAGGGTTTAGGGTTTATAGGGTTTAGGGTTGAGGGTTTGTAGGGTTTGGGGTTTAGGGTTGAGGGTTTGTAGGGTTTAGGGTTTAGGGTTGAGGGTTTAGGGTTGAGGGTTTGTAGGGTTTAGGGTTTAGGGTTCGGGGTGTAAGCAAAGGTTTCAGGGTCACGGGTATTGGGATGTTTCCGCCGTGCGCACTTGTGAGCTATCCGCTGAAGGCCATCAGAATTCCGATGCTAGGTGCCCCAGCCAATGTCGCCGCCTCCTCCTCCTCATCAACACGATCATTGTGAAAGCCATGGGCATGTTGGCAAAAGAAAAAATGGCGGAACCATCAAGATTTTCCCCAATCAAGAACCAATTTTTGTCAATCAGGTGGGTTCATGTGGTGGAGCGACCCCAAGCATCGTGCGCGCATCTGCCCCTCATGTGCATCTTGCCACACATCAGCTATGGAATGCAGCACTCAAGCGCACATACTTCCTTGCTTGTGTTCATTTTAAGCCGTCTGTAGCTGCTTTTGCATGCACGGCATTTCTTGTGTACAATCATCATAACTCATGCTAATTATAACCAGGGTTGAAATACGTTGAACACCTGAAGGTGCCCACTCAAGAATGAGACTCACGACAAGCGAAGTGGTTTAGCAGAAAGCCGACGCATAGCATGCATTCGACTCTTCCACACGCATGCGCAGGCACACGCCATCACACGCCTGCAACAGTGGGGGCCGACCTACAGCAAGGGTTCCCAAACTTGGCATGCTTTCCTCAGCGCTATGACCCTGTAGCATGTCGAAGGCTCCAGAAGCGGCTCACATCGATGCAAGTAACCGGTGGGGTAACTCAGCCGCCACAGCAAAAAACCCAATCAAAGAGCAGCATGAAGCTGCGAACAGAGTCGACCCTGAAACCACTTTTCGAACAGAACCAGCCGTCACAAGCTAGCTAACTAGCTGTTGGGTGTGGAGAAAAAAAAAGCTCCAACGCTGTTCAACATTAACGTCCAGTCGTGGGAGACAACTGCATCTGGGTCTTGCGCACACTGGCTCATAACATTACAGTGAGATGAACCCTAAACCCTAAACCCTAAACCCTAAACCCTAAACCCTACACCCTACACCCTAAACCCTAAACCCTAAGCCCTAAACCCTAAACCCTATGTTGCATCGGTCCTCTTCCTCTTCGCTGTCGTCCTCCGCGGCCCCATCCTTCTCGTATGTCTTGTAGGGCACGCGCCTGAACGTCGAGTTTCGCTCATCTAAGGTATCGCTTATGGTGGGGCGCTTTGAGGCCTTGCGTCAATCTTGAGTTGTGGCAAATAGCTCGTGAGTCTAAATCTCGGATCCTCGTGATGCCTACTGTAGGAGCCTGAATAATTAGAACAAGGTTTGGGGGGTTATTCTAGTATATTTTAGTAATTTTTAAGGGACCATAAGGGAAAATGTTTAGTAACTATTCCGACCCGTTTTTGACGCACCCCTGCCCAGACCTTGGTGACCACTGCTCTGGCGGCACCGCGACCTTCTTCTGGAGGTCCTCCGCCCACGCGCGTCACATGAAACGAGGAACTAACGAAGTCCCCAACAGATGTGCGAGGTCCACTTCGGAGCGTCCTGCTGCTGATAAGCTTCTTCCAGCTTCTGGGCGTTGGGGAAGAGCACCTGACACAGAGTTCCGAGAGTCCAAAAACATACGCTCGGGCTGCTTTTTTGCTCTGAGCAGTCAGGGTTTAGGCTTTAGAGCTTAGGTTTGGGTTTGAGGCAGGTTTAGAGCAAGTCCTCGAGTAGAGAATCCTCAAACCTAAGCCCCAAACCGTTGAAGCCCCAACCCAAGCCTATTTAAACCCTGACTCGCGGTTGTTCCCCCTTATACTAACAATCCTTGATAGGGACTATACTGGCAGGTACTATATAGTCCCGATTAAGGACTGCTAGTTTTCGGAGGAACAGTCCAACCCGGATTCTCCAAGCCCTACAATCCTCCCAAAGCCTCTAAACCAACCCCCCCCCCCCCCCCCCCAAAAAAAAAAAAGATATTTCACAACAAACGCTGCGAGCACGGGCAAGGCGGCCTGGCGCTGTGCGCTCACCGTCTCCGCCATGGAGTCCCTGACTTCCAGGGTAAGGTAGGAGTGCCCCCTTTTGGGGGGTTCAGGGTTTAGGGTTTAGGGTTTCGGGTTTAGGGTTTATAGGGTTCGGATGTAGGGGGAACCTTTTTGAGGGGTTGAGAATTACAGAGCCTGCTGTTCGGGGTTCATCGGTTCAACAAAGCGCGAACAGGTTCTGAGTAGGGAATGAGGGAGGTCGGCCCTCAGCCATGGCATCAGGAGGTTCTCTATGGGAACCCCGAACGTGGCCAACACCCAACGTTCTTGTTTTGGGCCGTTTTCCCTAAACCCTAAGCCCTAAACCCTAAACCCTAAGCAGAGAATGGAGACATTCACGCACTGAGAATTGGGTTCCTCGGCTTGCCCTGGGGGCAAAAAAAGGGAGTCCACCGATTTGAATCCACAACACTTGGGAGGTCTGGGCTTTAGGGTTTAGGGTTTAGGGTTTAGGGTTTAGGGTTTAGGGTTTAGGGTTTAGGGTTTAGGGTTCAGGGTTCAGGGTTTAGGGTTTAGGGTTTAGGGTTTAGGGTTTAGGGTTTAGGGTTTAGGGTTTAGGGTTTAGGGTTTAGGGTTTGGGGTTTGGGGTTTAGGGTTTCGGGTTTCGGGTTTAGGGTTTAGGGTTCATTAATACTTTTTTAACCCCGATGAAAACTGTACCTATAAGCTGGGATGCTCCCCCTAATACTAACAGTGCTTCGTAGCGATTATAGTAGGGGTACTAGAATCCCTGTTAAGGACTGTTTGTTTTGGGGAGAACATCCCAACTCGTAAGCCCCCTAAGTCCCCAAGTAAGTTACAAGTAGACTTATACTTGGGGGGTTTTAAGTACCGATGAACATCCAGGGAAAAAACATGCCATTGCAGACCCCAAGCTTCCGAGACTTGAATCCAACACAACCCGAGCGCTTTGGGCCAATTCTATACAACTTAACCCCTGTTCCCCTAGGAAGAAAAAAGGATCCTTTTTGTTTATATATAAGAAAGCCCATAACCCAAAAATTAAAAAGGATCCCTAACCCCGATCTAGACAAGCCTCAGGCGGAGTATTAGAGCTGACGAGCCTGCTTTGTTCCGGAGCGGTGGCATCGCCAGCGCCAGCCTCCATCCCAGTTTAGGGGCGTGCGCTGGGGGAAGACGTAGACGTATGCGGGTCATGGGTGGGATTCCCGAGCTCCTGCAACATGGTCCAAGTTGATATGGAAGAGCGCCCCATTTTAAAACCTTTTGCTCGGCAGTCGGGGGGGAGGCGGTGGGGGGGGGGGGGGGGGAAGGTTGGTCTTGTCTGATCCAGAGACGCAACTCAAGACCCTAACCCTAAAGCCTGAGCCCCAAATTCCTTTTTGGGGATGGTCTTCATGCTGCTGCTCGGATGCTACGTAGTGAAAAACCTTTCCACCTCACGGGAATTCAAGGGCCATGGGAGTGGGACTAAGACCTCATCCGATTTGCACTCACCAACATGTATTCAGAACCACATATACACTAAACCATAAAAGGAAATATCAACCCTAGCTCATATGACATCATCAAGTCATCCGTCCTGGGTGCTGGCGAATCTGAGCGGCCACCGACAAGCTCCCGGCGCTGGCCTCTAGGACAGGCTGGGAAAACTCCCATGCATGCTGGTCAAATGAGTCAGGTAGGGAACCATATTTAGGGCCCATTTAGCTACCCTAAACCCTAAACCCTAAACCCCACCTAAACTCATAAACCACCCGTTTTGTTTTGCAGGTCTGAAGGCCAGCAACTCTTGAATCTTGAAGTACCGAGCTTTCGGGGCCCCGAAGCACATGCCCCAACACAGCTCCGAGCCGCCTCTGTCGCAGCGCCGGTGCAAGGAGCACAGAAAAGCGCCCTCCAGCCACAACAGCTCAACAGCTTGAGGGGCTAAGGCTACGTAGGCAGTTGAGATTGAAGCAAATTTTCTGTTGAAGCACTGACACACTGGCATGCGCGTTCCGGGGTCTAGTGTTGGTCTCCCAGCGAAGCGAACTAAACCGCAGAGACTTCAACTGCCCACTTCACCTGTTGATTTCAAAGGAGAGGTGGGCGAAAGAACCCTTTCCTGCAATCATTCCAGGTTGATGGAGATTCCGTGGCTGCCACCGGATCAACTCTTATTGGTGCGGGCACAAGATTGCTTTGGTCAGGATTCACTTTGGGCCCAAATGCGAGACTTACACACCATAACGGAAGAGCTGTTATTTGGAGGCCTTCTTGTTGTTGTGTCTCTTTGATGAACCCATTCTGAGACAGAGTCCCTTTCGTTCAATCCCCTAATGCAGCCCAGCATCTCACACAGGGCGCAGCAGCTCTGAAAGCCATCCGCCCGTCTCCTAAAGCAGAGCCTAGACTCACTCACCTGGATCGTGAAAAGCTGCGGGACAGTGTATTGAGAGAGCGCGAGCTTCTGCCTCGGCTTCAGGAGTTCCGCGATGATTCTCAAGCATTTTGTGGGAGCTTCATGAAACTCGAGGCTCTGATGATTTCAGCATTCAGACGCGCCAGTAGCAAGTCTTATCTTCCAATAGCATCGAAGCTTCAACATGGTCTCACAAAGTGGATGTATCGCACCCTTCTACAGCAACAAGTCCGCATGCGCAGCTGAGGTTCTTGTTTCTTGATATCGTATTGTGAGGAGTGAGGATGCTAATGGCTGAACTTCAGCTGCCCATGCTTGCTATACATTGCTGGGATATGCAGCAGTCAACTGCGCATATAAAGATCACCACCCCTCCGAAAAGATCTTTGCTTCGTCTTCACCTGTACCCTCCGGCCACCATTTGGCGAACAGGCCCCGGAGCTCCGTACGGGGCCGTGGCGCCAGGCGCCGGAGCCGCGTAGCCGACTGGGCTGGTCGCCGGAGCTCTGTAAGCCACTGGAGCTCCGTAGGGGGCGGCAGTCCCAGGCGCCGGAGCCGCGTAGGCGACTGGACTGGCTACTGGAGCTCTGTAGGCAGTGGCGGGAGCAGCCCCGCAGAGGGCGGCGTTGCCAGGCACTGGAGCCGCGTAAGAGACGGGCCCGGCGACCGGAGCTCTGTAGGCAGGCATGTTAGCAGCTGCGTAGGGGGCGGCGGCGCCGGGCGCCGGAGCCGCGTAAGTGACAGAGCTAGTGGCTGGAGTTCGGTAAGCAGGAGCGGGAGCAGCTCCGTAGGCCTGCGCCGGAGCCGCGTAGGTAACTGGCCTGGGCGCCGGAGCTCCTGAGGGCACGGATCGCACAAACTCATCCGAATCATCCGGACCCCACACCTCGTCGCCATCGTCCAAGCGGATACGGTAGGGGTTTCCGTCGTCCCAGATTGCCAAGATCGTCCCTTTCATCCAGCCTGTGGAGCCTCCGGACACATTGGCCTCCACCCTGTCGCCGACCTTGAACCTCACCTCAGAGGTGACCTTGCAGTCCATGAACTTCTTCTCCAGGAGGTTTTTGTCCAGGTTGCGGCCGATGAACACAAAGCGGCACTCCCGCTTCTCGCCCTCCTTCCACTTGTAGCCCCCTTCGAAGCCGCCGTTGAAGAGCATGTGCACACCCTGGAACAGGTACTTTGCCTCCATGCCCTTCACCGCTAACATGCCCTTGTAGCGGAACATGTCCGTAGCCTTGGTTCGCAACATCTCGCGGATCCACCTCTCGAGCTTGTTCACGTTCACCTCCCCTTCGAACTTCCAGCTAATCGAGCTAATGCTGTTGTCGTGCTGATGCTCGCCCTCCGTGTCCATGAATTCGGGGTCCATCTCAAGCACACGGTCCAAGGAGAAGGCGTTGATGCCCAGCAGCTTTGCCGGGTCCACCTGGCTGTGCTGCGCCTTGATCATCTCGGCGGAGCTGTTGATCTTCTTCACTTCAGCCACAACCTCTGCCAACTGCGCATCGTCCACCAGATCGGTCTTGTTGAGGATAATCTTGTCCGCGAATGCGATCTGCTCGACGCTCTCGTTTTCGACACCTTCGGGCTTCTCCTCCGTGAGATGTTGGAGCACATGCTTGCTGTCAACGACAGTGACAATGCTGTCCAGGTGGTAATCTTTCTGTATCTCGGGGTCGACAAAGAAGGTTTGAGCAACTGGTGCTGGGTCGGCCATTCCAGTGGTCTCAATGATAACGCCGTCAAAAGTGTCCAGCCTGTCGCGGAGTCGTTTCAACACCTTCACCAAATCGCCCCGCACCGTGCAGCAGATGCAGCCATTCATCACCTCGATGATTTGCTCTTCAGAATCCTCCTTGATGACGTGCTCATCGACGCCGACCTCACCAAATTCGTTCTCGATGATCGCGAACTTCAATCCATGCCGAACGCTCAAGATGTGGTTCAGCAGGGTCGTTTTGCCAGATCCCAGGAATCCGGTGAGAACCGTCACAGGAACTTTTTTCCCAGACGGCGGCATCCAGAGACTAAAGCTGACTGGCTTCTCAATATGACAGCTACACAAGATTCACGGCTACACAGGCTTGAGCAAGATCTATGACATTGTCTTTATTGGATTTCCATCCTCACAGGAACTTTCCTCCCAAATGGGGTGGCATCTTCAACTTAGAGCTGGCTCACCTCGCAAGTTTGATGTCGTGCGCTGGCTGTGCGGAAGGCTGCTCCCGTGACTCGGAAGTCTGAGCGTCTAAGTGCCCCAGGATCCTAAGCTAAAGTCAGCTTAACCGCACGTGCCCCTCTCTTTTCTTCCGGCGCCGGGGGGAATCCTCCAAATCGAGAGCCGCACGAACTTGAGGATGTCAGATGCCAGATGCCCCAGGTGAGAAGCACCGGCAAAGGACTCCTTGCAACGAAGCTGCAGGTGCGGGTTTTAGGGGAGAGTGGCGACCCGTGATGTCCGAGCATTTCCAGGCTGGAGGGGCTTCCAGGGGGTTTCAGGGTAAGGGTGCTGTAGTAAGGTTTGGGGGATGAGGGCAGCGGCAGTTTAGCAATGCGGCTGGGGATTTCGACTATCTCAACGACATAGAGGGCTTAGGGGCTTCAGGTTCCAAGCTGGGATTGGGGTTCCTGGAATTTCTGAGATTACAAGGGTCGTGTCATAAAAGCTTGATATGGCTAGTTCTACTGTGCACAGCTTCTGGTGTCCGGGTCAAGGTCAGGACCCTGATTTAAAACCTGGAACCAGGCAAAAGATGTCCCTGCAGTGAGTGCAGAGGCCCTCCACACACTTGAGATGGAGACCTTCTCTGTTGAGGTCTCCTAGCGAAGCTAGTTACTCTGCAGGGCCTTCAACTGCCGACTTCACTTTTTGACTTCAAGGAGAGGTGGGCGGCGAGAAGTTCCGAACTAGAGGTCGTGGCTTGGGGCTCGTAAGCAGGAGGAAGAACCCCTGCCTGCGATCATTCCAGGTTGATGGAGATTTCGTGCTGCCACCAAATCAACTCGTATTGGTGCGGGCACAAAAAGGCTTCGGTGAGGATTCACCAGCTTGGCTTGGCCCAAATTCAAACACCTACACACCATAAAGGAAGATCTGACATTTGGAGCCCTTCCTGTTGCTGTGGTTGATGGGAAACCCGTATGACCAACGACAGAGTTTCAGTTTGCAGCCGAGCATCTCACGGAGCTGCAAGCCATCCGCGCGTCTCCTAAACAGAACCCGGGCTTACAGACGTCCGAGACTGACCTGGATCTTCAAAAGCTGCGGGGCAGGATAGTGCGCAGGAGTTTTCCGAAGCTTCTGCCTCGACCCCAGGATTTCAGGTGTTGATTCCCAGGCTCCCTCCCGAAACTCCCCCAGCCATGGAAGCTTGGGCTTGTAGGATCTTGACTGCTCGAGGCTCGTGAGGTTGAAGCTTTTGGACGCGCGACCAGGAAATGCTGTGTTCTGACAGAGACGAACCCTCAAATGGCTTAAGACTGCGGATGTCTTGTGCCCTCCTACAGCAAAAAAAATCCCGCATGCGCAGCTGGGGTCCTGCTAAATGATTCATATCACCGTGTGAGGAGTGAGGATGCTAATGGCTGAACTTCAGCTGCCCATGCGTGCTATACATTGCTGGGATATGCAGCAGTCACCTGCGCATATAAAGATCACCACCCCTCCAAAAAGGTCTTGCCTCAGCCGCTTCGTCTTCACTTGTAGCCGCCTTCCACCTTCTGGCGAACGGATCGCACAAAGTCATCCGAATCATCCGGCGCCCAGACCTCGGTGCCGTTGTCAAGCTTGATGCGGTACGGGTTTCCGTCGTCCCAGACCTTCAGGATCGTCCCTTTCGTCCATCCTCCGGGCACATTGGCCTCCACCTTGTCGCCGGTGTTGAACCTTGCCTCAGAGAGGACCTTGCAGTCCATGAACTTCTTCTCCAGGAGGATCTTGTCCAGGTTGCGGCCGATGAACACAAAGCGGCACTCCCGCTTCTCGCCCTCCTTCCACTTGTAGCCCCCTTCGAAGCCGCCGTTGAAGAGCATGTGCACACCCTGGAACAGGTACTTTGTCTCCATGCCCTTCACCGCTAACATGCCCTTGTAGCGGAACATGTCCGTAGCCTTAGTCTGCAACATCTCGCTGATCCACATCTCGAGCTTGTTCACATTCACCTCCCCTTCGAACTTGAAACTAATCGAGCTAATGCTGTTGTCGTGCTGATGCTCGCCCTCCGTGTCCATGAACTCGGGGTCCATCTCAAGCACACGGTCCAAAGAGAAGGCGTTGACGCCCAGCAGCTTTGTCGGGTCCACCTGGCTGTGCTGCGCCTTGATCATCTCGGCGGAGCTGTTGATCTTCTTCACCTCGGCCACAACCTCTGCCAACTGCGCATCGTCCACCAGATCGGTCTTGTTGAGGATAATCTTGTCCGCGAATGCGATCTGCTCGACGCTCTCGTTTTCGACACCTTCCGGCTTCTCCTCTCTGAGATGTTGGAGCACATGCTTGCTGTCAATGACAGTGACAATGCAGTCCAGGTGGTAATCCTTCTGGATCTCGGGGTCGACAAAGAAGGTTTGAGCAACCGGTGCTGGGTCAGCCATTCCAGTGGTCTCAATGATGACACCGTCAAAAGTTTCCAGTCTGTCGCGGAGTCGTTTCAACACCTTCACCAGATCGCCCCGCACGGTGCAGCAAATGCAGCCATTCATCACCTCGATGACTTGCTCTTCGGAGTCCTCCTTGATGACGTGCTCATCGACGCCGACCTCACCAAATTCATTCTCGATGATCGCGAACTTCAATCCATGCCGAACGCTCAAGATGTGGTTCAGCAGGGTCGTCTTTCCAGATCCCAGGAATCCGGTGAGAACCGTCACAGGAACTTTTCTCCCAGACGGCGGCATCTTCAGAATTAAGCTGGCTGGCTTTGAAGACAGGCTTGAGCAAAACCTTCGAGTCCGTCTTCCGAGATCAATCGTGGCCGTGAGCTGTGAGGAATGCTGCTAGCATGATTTGGCAAGTGCGTACTCAGAATCCCAAACTTTGCGTTTCAGCGCAACTGCAGGTTCTACACCTCTCTTTTGCTTCCTGCGCCCGTACCTAAGCAGCCCCGAAATAACCCCCTAATAACCCCCAGGGCCCCTTCTAAGGGTCCCTCCTTCGGCGGGTTCCTTGAGAAACGCGTGGACAGGCTCCCTACAGACGGCTTAAAAGCACTCAGGGCTTCCACCACTCGGGCCGGGCTCGAGACCTCGTGGTTTAGGGTTAGGGTTTAGGGTTTAGGGTTTAGGGTTTAGGGTTTAGGGTTTAGGGTTTAGGGTTTAGGGTTTAGGGTTTAGGGTTTAGGGTTTAGGGTGTAGGGTTTAGGGTTTAGGGTTTAGGGTTTAGGGTTTAGGGTTTAGGGTTTAGGGTTTAGGGTTTAGGGTTTAGGGTTTAGGGTTTAGGGTTTAGGGTTTAGGGTTTAGGGTTTAGGGTTTAGGGTTTAGGGTTGAAGTCCTTGGGACGGTTTAGTAGCGGTTGGTGAACGCGGAACCTTCAAAATCTTCACAATTCAGGTCGCACTTTGCACAATAGTGAAAACTGAAGCAGTAGGAAGAATCCGTTCCTGCGATCCCTCCAGTTTCGATCTGGATTCTGTGCCGGATGCACAGACGCACACATCTGCGGTGTGGCAAAACGATAGGTGGTATCATTCCTTGTGGGCTTTGGAGTCAATATGTGGTCATGTAGCTTGCAGGATCTGAACTGACTCAACATCTGCATTCATCTTCTCAACCTTTCTGGGCTGTTCCGCGCGATGGGATTCTCATAGCTTTCTCATGCACAAAGACAAGCTTGGTCCAAACATGTGAGACCTATAACATGCCGCAATGGAAAAAACCTGACGTTTGGGGCCTTCCTACTGTCCCACTGTTGGGTTTGTGTATCATGGATGGGAGGACTGAGGTACTGGAAGAAACTGTCATTCGGTGCACAAATCAAGAAGTGTACCAAGTTGTGTGCAGGCACGACCAGCACAAATCGAGAAGTGTACCAAACCATATGGGTTTGGCTCAAGCAACATGAGGACGAGAGCGAAGTGCGATAATCATTGTGGGTTGCACTTCCGTTGCCGGGGATGTTGATTGGGGATTGATTGGGTGTTGGGCTGGCCTTGAGACCTCCTAGGGATCATCGAGATGTACAATCCTCTAGATGATGTACCTCACACTATACGTGAAAGGCTCTCCCCAACCCCTAGTCACTTCAGCATTGTAACCTCCTCATCACCTGGGCCTCATAATCCTCATAACCTCCAAGAGGTTATGAGCCCAAACCCCCTAAGCCCGCACAACACCATGCAGACAGCAGCAGCAGCAGCCACAGCAGAAAGCAGAAGCAGTGAAGTGGTTTTTCGGTCGATGAGCCAAGTTACATTGCCTGCCGATCTTTTGCAGAACCTCCGGGACAACATATCGTTTGATCTTGGGGCAGTGGAGGACATTCGTGCAGCTTTGACAGAGGTGAACGATCGCTTGAACTACAGAACCAATTTGCTTGGCCAGGCTATGGGCACGCTTGAGACAGGGCATTCCCATATCTTCTCAGGATGTATGTCGATGGAAGATCGCTTGAGATCCTTAGAGGAGGCTTTGCGCGAGCAGCATGGTGTGGTTGAACGACAAAGTACCACGTGGAACAATGAGATGCTTGAAGTCAGAGGATGCTGGAGCAAGTTCAGGCAAGGACACAGGCACACAGTGTGCAGGTGGACCAAGACCGACAACGAGAAGCGATGATGGCTGCAAAGCTTGAGTCGTTGGAGGGTCGAGTCAGAGATCTAGAAGCAGCCTGCAGTCAGCAAGAAATAAGGCAAAAGGAGCACCATCGCCGGCTGGATGCTCACTCAACGTTACTATATGCACCTACCTTCAATGCTACAGGCAGTGGAGAAGCTGTTGGAGGCACCGAGGCCCTGGCAGCACGGGTGGATGAGGAGTTGGCTAAATTGGATGGAAGGTTGAAAAGTTGGGAATCCAAGGTAGACCTCCTTTCAAGGCCGACTACAGACGCTCATGAACATCGACGAGTTGAGCACTTTACATTGTATCCTGACGGCCAAGACCGCAGTGAGCATGTGGAAAGGGACTGGTGGACTCAAGTTGGCGACGAGCCCAACAGTGATGAGGACCAGTCTGCAAACCCATGGAACATATCCCAGCCTCCTGCAGTACCACCTGGATTGACATCGCATTTGCACAGATCCGAAAAGGCGAAGGCAGAGCACTCAAGTCAACCTGGACCCGGTCAATCTGGTAGAGCGCCAGCGACAGGGCAGAAGGAGCAGTGGAAGGTGTTGACGGATTTTCCATCATTTGACTTCACGAGTAAGACACCGTGGGAGTTGGGGATGGCATATTCAACGTGGAAGAGACAAATATGCACTGTGGCAGGCACTGCGTCTGGAGTATTTCAAGCTTTTGTAGAAGAGTGTTTTGCAGAGGCTGAGGATCGCTACCAGCGTGGTGCTCGTGGTGAAGCTGTTGACACACTGAAGGCCTATCATTCGTATCCCTCGGGGTATGGTGGTAGACTGGTGGTTCAATTGTTACGAGTTCTTCCCGAGGAAATAACTGCGCCAGCCGTTGAGATGACGACTCCTACGACAGAGATCCATCCGGTTCAAGTACTGGAGGAGTTGGTAGGACAGGTGCAGCCTGGTGGATGTGAAGAACAGACCAGTTTAACCAGATTTGTGAGATCCTTGGAGGCAGTACAGACGGCGTCTGCGGCTATACAAGTCATCAGACGATGGAAGCTTGCCAGGGCAAGAATACAAACCCTTGGTCTTCCAGAGATTGCGCCGTTTGGACTTCTGCGAGGACTGCAAAACTTGGTCAGTCGTCTCGAAAAGAGACATGAGTCCCTACGCACGCGAATGTCGATATGTCGTCTTGATGCTTCTGTGCAACTAGGACAGACGAGGGGAGTGGATCTCGTTCTCGACAACCTGGAAAAGGAGTTGCGCTTGATTTCTGCAAATGAATATGCTAAGAACAGGACATCTGACGAAGGTGACAGCGTTGCACACAAGGGCAAGGGCGACAAGGGCAAGGGAGATGGTGGCAAGGGCTCAGGAGGAGGCAAGGGCAAAGATGCTCAGTCGAAGGGCAAGACCCTCACTCTTGAGGAGAAGACGCCATGTCCCTATCTCCAAAAGGGAAGCTGCTCGTTTGGGGATAGATGCCACTACAAACATTCACCCGCGAACCCCAAGACGGCAAGTTCGAACTCTTCACAGCCCAAGACCGATGCCGAGCAGAAGAAGATTCCGTGCAGACATCACAAGCGAGGAGGCTGCAAGCTGGGCGACAAGTGCAAGTACTCTCATGCTGCACAGGCCCAGACTCAGGGAGATGCAGCTCAGACTTTGCTGGGTGTTGAGTCCGGCGGTTCTTCGGCAAGGGCAGCGCCGCAACCAAAGGCAACAGCGAGGGCAGCGGCAACAGCATCTTCTATGGCTTCATCAATCCGATGGACAGGGAGTGTTTGCGCAATGTTTCGGGGTGGCTCAGGGGGAGATGAGCCAGATACCGATAGCGAGTCATCTTTGGAAGGTTCTATTGGACAGGAGGAAGTAGACTCCGAGGCATCCACTCCAAGCACGCAACCGGACATGCGCAACGAGAATGACATCGACCTCTACATGGCGGAGGCGCTACAGAGGGCGCAGGAGGAGAGGCAAAGACGGCAACCTCTCTGGAAACTGCATCTTGAACCAATGGAGTATTTGGCGTGGCGAAATAGCGACATTCTCACAACCGAGAAGGCCTTTGTGGAGGTAGACAATCCGTACGATGTAGCTGCTGGAGTGTCTGTTATCCTTGCTGGCTTAGATGAAAATTTGCCTCTCTATGACATCGAGATAGGAGATGAACAGATTTTGTTGGCTGCGCATGACATGCTGATTATGTGTGATGATGACGTAGTCAGGCCTGGAATTCTGGTATGGCTGATAAGTCTGTCCGACCGAAATGAGCTGTTCATGGCAATGATCGAAACGAACAGGCCGCCCCGGGTGTACAGCCCCAGACCAGCAGTTGTACCTCGTCCAGTACCTCAAGCTCGACGTGCCGATGCTAAGGCAGTGACAGAGGGAGATGAATGCTCAGATGTGCTGCTGGATACTGGTGCAAATGAAGTAGTCCGAACTGCTCCAGGGCCAAAACCTGCAAGGGCAAGACCCGCGCCTTTGGTTCTTGCAGATGGGCAGCAGGTGAATGCTTGGCGCACTCGAGATGGCGAGATGTTCGTGGAGGCACAGGAGGGAACTTCAACATTGTGTGGAGTATGCCGACTCATACAGATTGGAGTTTCGTTCCTGTGGGATGCTTCTGGAGCACATCTAAAAATGCCGCAGAGTTTGGGTGGTGAATGGGTGCAGCTGGAGATCCGAAATGGACTTCCATTTCTCGACTTTACGCAATACAAGCGCCTACGACCACTTCTGACCAGGAATTGGAAAGAGACTTGCATGAGTGCTGTGAGTCCGTGTGCAAGTGAGGAGCCGCTTGGAGAGCCTGACGTCGTGAGCTGGGAGGATATCGCCGAGCTAGCAAGGCTTCAGGAGGAGGCAGAGCCGGGAGGACATGCTGCTCAGATGGTCAGACAGGAGCCGGAAGGCGAGGCGGAAGCGCGCGCGCCCTGTTGGATCAGCCAGGACCGCTGAACTATGTGGACGTCGCCAATGTGATCCGCGCGGCCAAGCTACAGCCAATGATTACCAACTGGAAGAACAAAGTTTCGAATCCCGAAAGCAAGTTAAAGATTTGGGCGTTTGGATCGTGGGTGCAAGGAGGACTACATGGTATTACCAAGATCACTTTGGAACGGCCGTGTTTAGCTCGACTTCTGGGACGCTTCA